GGAAGCAGAACACATGAAGAAAGATGCAGAAATTGAAGTTGTGCTGTCACAAGCCAAGAAACATCTGGAAGTAGCCAGAAAAGGTAGGAGATGCTCTTCCCTAGTGCCAGGTCCTTCTGACACCTTGACCTGGAACCTATCAACTCCAGAAATAAGGATGAATTCCCACCGTTGTAAGCCCCCTGCTAGTAGTACACTGTCACACATGCTCTAGAAAACCATGGAACCAGGTCCCTCCAGCCACAGCAGTGATGGATGGAAAAAGGAATGCAGAGCAGGGCTGGGGCTCAAAGCTCTCTCCAAGCTATAACTTTCAAATGACCCTTCCTGCAGTCACGCCCTCCTGCTGAGAGCCCCAGGAAGAAAGCTGGCATCTGCTCCCCCAGCCACCTACAACAACACACCAGAACCCAGGGGGCCTTGGCTTCCCCACTCCTGGTAACCTACACTCATTCTGTCCTGGGGCTAGGAAATTTTCCACCATCCCACCTCCAAGTCAAAGTCGTTAGATTTAATCATTAACCTAGGGGAGGAGGGTAATTAGTAGGGTAGGATGATAACCCATGCTGATGAGGACACAGCTGGACGTTAAGAACAGCTGATCTGACAAACATGGGGAGAAGCAGAACCTGACTGAAAAGAGGCTGGAATGTACTCCTGGCATATCTGCACCTCCCACCCCCTGCCCCGAGTTCTGAAGGCATCAATAGCCCTTTCCTCTATCCTGCTTTGGCAAGCACCAAAGGAGAAAACATTTGCAAGCATGTAATGGATGTAACCCATTTGGGACGACATAAGCCCAATCCTCTCTATATATAACAGGATTGCCTCTTGTTAAGCCAGTTTTAAGACTGAGGAAATTGAGAGTTTGAGAAGCTAAGCAACTTGTTTAAGGTCACAGACACTAAGTGATGGAACTAGGATTTGAGCCCAGGTGAGTATGAAGAGCCTAGGGTCACGTTGACACACACACACCCTCTCTGACTGTCCTGGGAGTTACAGCATCTTGTTCCTCTACTTTTGTGACACTCCAGACTGGTAGTATTAGCCACCTATCTATCACCAGCTGGCACTTAAGCTGAATGAGGTCCAGAAACAGACACTGGATCTGTTTTGAGTACCTGGAGCACTTAGCATAGTGCCTGGCTTGTGTAAATGTTTGTTGAAAGAATCAATCCAACCTGTAAGAAGGTTGAGCTAATAGCTATCTATGAGTTGGTCTTCTGCTGAAGACCATCTGGGTGCCCATGTATTTAAAGAGGTCATCTGAGTCAAGCCCTGACACTGGCCCTTCTTCTTCTAGCTTGATGCAGCAAAGGTTGGCCATGATGCCAGTCCCTAGGTCAAGTGCTTCTGGTCTCTAGCCCAAGGGCTTGGATGGCTGCTCCTAAGTCTCTTCCACCTCAACTAGTGGTAGCTGTGGCTAGTGGAACAGTAAAGCACTTTGGAAGAGGGTGAACTGAGTGAAAGTAAGTACCAGCCCCGTTCCCAAGAGTACTAGCTGCAAGGCTGCCACCAGGGCCTGGGACAATTGCATTGTCACAGGCAAATGGGCCTTTTGAAGCTCTCTCTTCCAGCTCACTGCACCAATGGGGCATCTGGGATCTCCAAGAGGTTCTGGAAGTATCTCTAGTGGAGACATCTTCTAGACAGGTTTTGAAAGCCTGCAGAATTACAGTCTCAGGAATGGTACCTACCCCTCCTTCCAACCTCCCTGCTTCACAGGACTAAATCCCTAACAACTCTCGAATTATTCAAAAAAGCAAAGTCACTCCAGAGGTCAGAAGCCACAATGAGAATGTTCAGAGTATATGCCACAAGCTCTGAAATAATTCCAAAAGAGGGTCTAGAAAGGCTTAAGAAATAGCAGCACCTTCCCAAGGAACCATGCAGATGGGCTTGTTGCTTCTTTGGGGGTTAAAAGCAGCTGCAAGCTTTTCCTCTGCAGAACTGTGTGAGCAAGTGTGTACGAACAACTGTGTGGACAATGTGCTAGTACCGTGCACTCCACACCCAGGAGTGTACTCTGCCACCTGACCAGGCTGGAAGCTGGAGGCAAGGTCCTCCCTGCTGTCAGCCTGGTCCTGTGACTTCCTGGCTGAAGCTGGCTTGCCTTGGATTCTTGACAGAACATTAAAACAGAAAGACATCTTCAGGCTGCCTCGACCCCCACAGGGGAGCAGGGTGCAGAGCCACCAAGGGCATTGGTAGCAGAGGGAGGTTTTGAACCTGACCTCCCAAATCCCAGCTCAGGTGGACCTATCGCTCTACAACACCCTGGTTACCCACCCTCAGGCTTGGTTGTGAGGATTAGTGAAATTAACACTAAGGTTAGTGGAGCAAGGAAGGTAGATCAGCAAAAACAGGGTGTAGCCCATTAACCTAGAAGGTAGCACAGGCAGCAGGGAGAGTGGGCCATTAGATGATGGCATCACCATGTCACATCCCTGTAACCTTAAATATTCATGAGCCAGAAGTGTGCCCTGGAGTAGCTATGACTCTGCAACCTGGGATGCAGCTGGGGGCAGGGGAGAAGGGTGCTCTTCACATAGACACATGTGAGCAGAGAAAGAGACAGACTCGGCACTCCTAAGCTGGGAGCCCTATCCAGGCAGGCACAGGCCCTCTGCAACTCCCCAGCCCTTTGTGTGCGATCCACACTGCTTCCCACACACCTAGCAGGTGCTCACAGTTACTCAGTTCAGGGCACAAATAAAGGTCAAAGCAACATGCACACACCTTCACAGTCACCGCTCCACTTGGCCTGCAGAAGCTGTGCTGGGGCCCACTCTATCTCCCTCCTGCCAGCCAGCCCTTCATCCTTGTGGTGGCCCAGGGAGGTCTCTCTTTGCTCTGGCTTTCTCTGACTACTACTTCCTGCCCCCTGACCCCCTACACCCTGCCACCACTGCTACACAGCGGCTCCCAGGACCCTTCTCATTTCCACTAAGCCTCTCTTGGCCCCCACCTAGCCTAAAGCTTTCAGATCAAAGGAAGTCAGAATCGGGGAGTTGAGACGGGAACACTGAGGACAGGCAAGGTACCTAAGGAATTCTAGGGCTAAAATTTAAGGGAAAGAAAGGAACATGGATGAAATGTAAGTAAACTGGACCACCCCATGAGAGTGGAATCTATCTCATAAGAGCCCAGATAGAGGAACCCTCACTCTGAAATTCTGCATGGAAACAAGCCAGGAGTCCCCCGCCCAACACACACTCCAGCACTAAATTGGATGTGGCCTGCTTCTGTGTCAGGTCCCTTACTCCATGGGTCCTCATCTGTGAGGCATGGAGGTTCTGACACTGCAAAGGAGATGGGGAATGGGGACTGTACCTTCAGGTCCTTCAGTCCAGGACAAAGAGACAGAGAACCGGCTCTCTTTAGAGGAGGACACAGTGCTCCTAAGTGTATATGTGGGAGAGAGAAGCAAAGAGAAAGGAAAACAGTGACGAGGCCCTGAGGCACCCCATGCTCTGTCTCCCGGGTTAGGTGGTTTTACCACCTCTTCTTACACCCCTGGCCTGGGATGTGAGTGCACAGACATTGGGACCAGGGACACTGAGAAGCCCAGGCAGCTGAACACCTGCCCGGCTGCTCGCTGTGACAGGGGACAGGGACAGGAAAAGCATCCCCAGAGTCTCAGTGCTACAGTGAACAGCAAATGGAGGGCCCCCTGGCTAGAGCCTTCAGGGCTGCTGAGTGGCTGCAACCTGGCCTTGCCCTGGAGAAAGCTGAGCCTGCCTGCCCTGTAAAGAGATCCCTGGGGGGAGGGCGGCGGCTATTTTTGGAGGAAAGAGGGGAAGGGGCCATGGAAAGCCTACCAGAGGATCCCAGATTGAGTGTTAAAGTTACTCCCTAGAGTAGGGGGGTGGTCAAGGGCCCATTCTCCTGGAGCCAAGCCAAAACCTGCTTGGACCCTCCCCTCGGTTCAGTTTAAGATTAGAAAGAAGCTGATCTCCTGTCCCTGCCATGCACCTCCTCCAGCACTGCGGGCTTTCTTCTCTGTCTCAGTGCCTCCTAAATCCACCAGGGCCCACTCCCCAGTGTCCAGCACCCACCTCTCTCTGTCCACTGTCCCCCCGCCCTAGTACAGGGCACTCCAGCTCCTATGAATATCCTGTCACCCTCACTGGTTAGTATTGAGTGGTATGTTGGTCCCATACCAACCCAGTAAGTTCTTCTCATAGTCTAACTTCCATGCCTCCAGTCACAGCAAAGCATTTTCATTTTTCTGCCAACAATGAAAGTGGACACCAGTCATCTGCAAACAGGCCTTTCCACCAGAGAAGCATCCCTCTCCATCCCTCTACCACATCTCAGTCCTCCCTTTGAAGGCCTTTCACCTACTTTGCAGGCCCACAATGTAGCAAGCAGAAAATGAAATCTATTTCACAAGCAGGATTGGCTTTCACCCCCATGGCTCCTTCTTTATCCTAAATGGCCCTCTTTCCCCAAGCCCTTAGTCCACCCTCATTTCAGTCACGCTCCTGAGACCCTCCTAGGCCTTCCCCTCCTCTCCCTGTTCGGAGTGTTCCCTGGACTGGACAGGATCCAAAGTCCATAACTGCCCTCCAAGTTTTCACTTCCACTCTAGTATTTTCCTCAAGGGAAAGTCTTCTCATACCCCAAAGCTCCTCCACCACTGTCTTCATCCCCTTGGGTGCTGCATACCTAAATTCCCTTCCCATCTTTTCTCTTTGTGAAATCTCATTTACATCATAAATACAATCTTCCTCTCAGGCTGTGCTCTTCCACTTTCCCAGACCCTGAAACCTGCCCCAGCTTGAAAAAGTTCTTGATAGCCCCTTTTCACATGCACCCTCTGCCCAAAATTCTAGGATACCTGGATGCCCGCCAACCGGTGGACTAGAACAGCGACCCGCCCAGGTCTGGCTCTCCAGCCGGAGGGGCGGCGACCCGCGCGGCCGCCAATGCAGCCACGATGGGGTTAAGGCTCAGGACTAGGGGAAGAGGGGGCCGGGAGGGGCGGTGCAGAGCCAATCCGCAGCAGCACAGTCCTCGGGCCGAGTGGGGCGCGCCGAGCCTGGAGCTGCGAGCCGAACGCCGGGCTGGGGCCGGGGCCGGAGCGCAGCGGAGAAGGAGCGCGCCCGCCCCAGCCCGAGTCCCGCCGCCGCCGGGCCCCAAGCCATGGAGCCAGATAACAGCCCACGAAAGATCCAGTTCACGGTCCCGCTGCTGGAGCCGCACCTGGACCCCGAGGCGGCCGAGCAGGTATGGGAAGGGCGGGGCAGCGAGACTCGGCGATGGTCAAGGGACCCGGCCGTGGAACCTGAATCCTTGCCTCGCCCCTCAGCCCGGCACCGCACCCCTTCTGGGACGCACTCGCCCAATTTATGAGGGGAGGGTCCTCCATCCCCTCCCCCAACGGCGGAGCCAGGTCTCCCCATCAGTGCGGGTCCCTGTGCTGGGAGTCTCCGAGAGCATCGTTCACTCCCTGCCCTGCCTTGTGGACACGACCCCTCCTCCTCTGGCGACCTTGCGTCCCCTCACTCTCAGTCAACCCCCGGAGTCTACCGGCTGGGTGTCGGCACTGACCTAAAGGGTACTGCCGGAAAGGGGGCGGCAAGTGGGAAGAAGAGACAGCTCCGCCCCTCCGATTCGTTCGCACCTGGGCCCTGAGTGTTAGCACCCAAGGGGATGAAGACAGCGGTGAAGGAGCTTTGGGGTGAGGGCGGGGGTCTGCAAGCTGATATTTGTTCCCTTCTGCAAGTCGGAGCACGTGGGTCCTGGGTCTAACTCCTGCCCTTTGGAGTAGGGGGTGGGGGTGGGATGCGGGGCTCAGTGCTGCCGACTAGAGCGCCTAGGGCCGGGGTCCAAGCTTAGCCAGGAGCAAGCCACTAAAAGAGCTTGGCTCACCGGGTGGGAGTGCAGGGCCCTGGCCCAGCCTCCTGGCCTGGCCTATTTTTAGCTCAGAGCAGCCTGGCAGAGGCGGCAGTGTGTGAGTGAGCAGTATGCCTCAGCGTCAGTGAGCGTATGGAAGGACTACTACCTGCAGCCTGTCTCTTTTCGCATTCGCTGGCCATGTGGAGACCAACTCATCCACAAGAGCACCCAGCTCTCACCAGGCTGGGGCTCCTGCTTCTAGCTACTCACTGCCAAGCTCCCCACCTGAGAGACTCTGACACCTCTAGGGATGGGCAAGAGAGAGAGAGGTTTCCACAATGCTCAGGCTGATTGATAGACTTGGGTGTGGATGAAAAGGGCCAACACATGTGCTCTTTGAAACTTTACTTCTCAGGGCAAGGGAAGGCCAGGTATCCTAGCCTTGGGCATCTCCAGAGCTGTAAGGTCTGGCTGGAGAGGGTGTATTGAGACCTCATACACCTGAGTGGAGGAGTGGTTTCTGTGGGCTCAAGGAACAGGCCTACGCCCTGAGACAGGAGATTAGCTAAAATGACTTCTGACCCAGGAAAGGAGGCCCAGGAGTGGGACTGTAGGAGTTAGAAGTTCTGAGAGCTGCCTCCCACTAGCAGACAGGACCTGACACTGCTTCTGTTTGGTGTTGAGGTGGGAGGGAGGAGGGCAGGCTAGCTGATTCACAGAGCTGGGGGCAAAGAGCACGTGGGGGCATATGACAGTGTTAAGGAGCCGGAGTGGGCAAAGAGCTGGGACTCTGCCCACGCTTTTCTAGTCTTCAGAGATCTGTCTCCTGGGCCTAAAAGTTTGCCCCCATCCTTCCTGCTGTGCTACCCCGTATGTAGGCAAAAGCCCCAAGCACAGCAGGAGCTCCTACCCCGGCCTCCATGGGGTGGATGGAGGTGGGGACAGAGTGGGAAGCTAAGCGTACAGCAGAATTAGGGTGGAGGCTGCTAACCCCCACCACAACCTTCATATGTCCTTGAGAGCTAGGAGAGGTGGGGGCAGAAACAGAAAAGAGACCTCTCTGTTGGGTACCTAGGACCCAGGGAGTCTGGCTTTCCTCCCTCCTGACAATATCACAATTCTCAAGGACTCAGGGTGCTTCAAATCTCTCTATTTAGGGCAAAAAGTCTGTTAAGGGACCTGCCCAACCTCACAGAGCCCTGCTGACCTTTTGGGCTCCCAGTACAGGTGCTATGTCAAACCACTAATCCCAAATCCACCAGTCTGGGTCACCTGCACTCCTCTCCAGCAACCACCCCAAACCCCAAACCTTCCCACCCCACCCCTACTCAGTCAGAAGGCAAGTAAGGAGTCAGACCCCAGCAAAGAGGTGGTCCTACTCCCACATGCATGAAGCATCTTGTACCAGGAACAGTCAGAGACAATTCACATTTACTATTTAAACATGCACACCACACACACACACACACACACACACACACACACACACACACACACACACGCCTGGCTCTACTGGGACCTTGAAATGTCACTAAAAACAGATGCCACCGATTTCCCCTGAAGCAAGAGGTCACTCGCAGCCCGTTCCATACATGCTGTTCTTTCTTTGGGAAGAGCCCCCTCTCTGGCTCACACAGTCCCTCCTACTATTCCCACTTTCTAGGCATCTTGTCACCTCCACCCACCACTGCCAGTGGTGGTGATGCCAAGTGATAACTACGAACAGATCTAACCCTGATCATTTGGGTCCTCACTGGACTCCTTCCTGCCTCCCCACGGCTGCCCTGAGAGCTGCAGGAGCTCTGCCCCTGTGGTGCCACTCTCTTCCAAACCTTCCCCAGAAAGGGAAAAACTGCACATCCCAAGAGTCTGAGGAATTCAGCAATAATCAACAGACAGCAGGACAAGAAGAAAAACCAACAGCAGGAGGGTAGCTGGAGTTCTGTTGGAACCCTAGCTGCCAATCAGCTCTATATTCTAATTTCCCCTGTGGCTGGCCAGGATTCTACCCCTCCTCATGTCCTGCTCACCATCGAGACCACTTCCCCTGTTCCCTGACCAATCAAAAAGCCAGTGTGTCCAAGGCTAAGGAAAGTGTTGAGGAGCTGTAGTGGCCAGGGAAGAGGTGTCCTCAAGCCCTTCTTCCTTCATGATGGGTGAGCTGAGAGAGGCCTTCTGCAGACAGGTATGAGCACACAAAAGGTTAATATCTGCTTAGGGGGTGGACTAGAGGCTAAGGGAAAGTCCTCTGGCCTCTCATGTTATCTCTGAACATTGATCCAGGATGGATCAAAGGACAACAACAATTGATGATGCACAGAGTTGACAAAGCTTCTGAAAGGAAAGCTGAACAGGACAAGGGTGGGGTGGGGAGGCAGTGCAGGGAAGGAAACGCGTAGATGGCCCAGGTGGCCTCTTGAGTTCCTAAGAACAGCTCATCCCTGAATGAGCCAACAGTACTCTCAGGTTAACCTGACACTTTCTGAGGGATGTACAGAGTTGGCCTGAGTGGTGTTCCTGGTTAACCTGACCTTTTACTCCTCCTCCCCTAACCCAGATTCGGAGGCGCCGCCCCACCCCTGCCACACTTGTGCTGACCAGTGACCAGTCATCCCCAGGTAACCCAAAGGACACATGCCTGGAAGAAGGGGGTCCCTGCAAGAGGGGATGGGTGCTAGAAAGGAAGGGCAGACTTGAGTAGTAGACATTCACCCCATGCTGCCTCAGCAGGATTTATTTTGTTTTTAGAAAGATGGAGCTGTGCTAGGAGGGGAGGGAACCACCTGGTTCCTAAGCCCTCCAGGAACTGGGATGGCCAACTAAGTGCAGGTTGCTGTGGCGACAGCCTTCTAGGTTTCTCCAGCAACTGCGATGTCACTATCCCCACTCCCAAATGCAGTGACAGCTGTGAGGGGGAGAGACCGCCTCCATCATCTAGCATCAGGTCTCCAGGGGGTAAGGTTAGAAACAGCTCAGGGAGCAGATGGGATTCTGGTCACCAGAGTCCCCACCAAGGTCTGGAGAATGTCAGAGGAGCTTGGTAGGTGTGAAAAAGAAGTGACCAGGCTAGTCTGAAATCTGGGATGCCCCCAACTTCCATAAATGATGCACATCTGTGGGCCTAATCAGAACAAGTTTGCTATTCTCTCTCAGGCAGCCCTGCTCCTGTGAAAGCTCAGTTCTGGCTTTGGGGGTGAAAGAATAACTGGGAGGAGAAAGAGACCTGGATGCTGCAGAGAAGGGAAAAAAACAGGACCCCAAATCTGCCTTCACAGACCTCAAAGCCTGAGGCTAGGATGCAGGCTTAGCCTGGCCATAGGGCCTAAGTCTTGACAAAGCCAAGCAGCAGTGCAGGGGGATCCAGAGAGAGCAGGCTCCTGGGACAGCTCAGAGCAGAGGTGACTGCAGAGTCCCTTCTCCTTAAGAACTCAGGTCTTTGGGAACTACCTGGGTTTCCTGCTCTTATCACTGTTTTTGTTGTTGTTGTTGTTTGTTGCTGCTGTTGTTGTTGTTGTTTCCTATTTTCCCCAGAGATAGATGAAGACCGGATCCCCAACCCACTTCTCAAGGTGAGCTGGTCCCTCCCACTCAACCCAGCACTGAGAAGCCAAACCCTGATCCTCCAGTTCTAGGATGTAGCTCATTGAGAGAGAGCACCCACTTAGCATATACAGGCCCTGCGTAAGCTCCCCAGAACCCAAAGCAAAAACTGTATTCCCTACCAGTAAGGCCTTTGATGCCCTATTCCATGCTCCCTGGCCCAAAAGGTGTGGGAGTACCTCTACACACGCTCCACCTCCTCTCACACACAGTCTCCATGTTCAGCCTCGTGGAAACAGCTAAAAACTAGGAATCTTCTCTTTCTCCTGAAACCCACCTGCCCTGATTTCTAATCCAAAAGCATGCCAAGGCAGAGGAGGAGGGTGGGAAGGGCTGGCACCCATCTAGGCTCTGTGTCCTTCACAGTCCACTTTGTCAATGTCTCCACGGCAACGGAAGAAGATGACAAGGACCACACCCACCATGAAAGGTTTGGCATCTCCTTTCCAATTTCCCTTCTGCCTGAAGCTGGGGAGTAAATCTAGTAACCCTTTGCAGGGAATCCTTGGGAGGTCACTGGGGTTGCCTTTATTTGAGTGGAGCTGTTGCTATGTGAAGGAGTCTCTTGTGGCCTTGGTGAAACTAATTCATAGCCCAAGCCTGAATACCACCTCCTCACGATGGCAGATAAATAGCACATGTGACGTCATCAGCATAGCACATGGAAAGTACTATATTCCTTGAGTCCAAATTGAGGCTTTTCTCCTGCCCCTAGGGAGACCATAGATCCTAGTAAATTAGGAGTGTCTATGTACTTGAAGGCTCTTTCTCTCTCCTTATTGCCCAGCTAATGTTCCTCGATGTTTAGATCTCAGTGCATCGGAAATTAAAGCACCCAGCAATGTGCACAGACCAATTGGTGGGGCTACTGAATTTGGGAGAACCCCGCAAGGGAGATTTTCAGCAGTCGTATCCAATGTTTCCTCCTTTCTCTATGCCCCTAGAGCTCCAGACGATGGTTGAACATCACCTAGGGCAACAGAAGCAAGGAGAGGAACCTGAGGGAGCCACTGAGAGCACAGGGAACCAGGAGTCCTGCCCACCTGGGATCTCAGACACAGGCTCATCGTCAAGGCTGGTTACCCCTGGGATAGCACAAAGTATGTACAAGCCTGGAAGGGCCCCAGAATGCAGTTTCCCAGCCTTGCAAGAAGACAGCTTTACCCACTGGGGGGAGGGGAGGAGTCTCAGCCTGGGAGAGATAGAGTAGTAGCCTAAAGCCCAGTCAGGGACATGGATATATTGCACATATCACGTGTTTGAATCACTTTGTCTTACTGTAAGCTACCACCTTGGACTCCAAAGATCTTGTTGTGGCTGAGAAATGAGGGAAAAAACCACCACATTGGAAACAGTATTTGACCCTGCAGTGGAGCCAGGACTACTTGCACCACTGGCCAGTTTGCCAACAGAGCTGGCGTCTATTTCACTGGGGTTGCCTTAGAGTCTTCCAATGAGTCTGGCTCAACACCTGATACAAACAAATCCTTCAATACAGAGAATGTAATGCTGATGGTGATAATCCACAGCCACAATCCCAAATGTATTCCAGAATTCATATCATTTCCAACTGTGTGAAAGTGATACAGTGCACATACTGTGTGTTACATAACATACCCAGCAGAGCATCCTGTAATCAAACACATGCCTTTTCTACAGTCCAGTGAATGGTCACACAGAGTGGGATAAGTAACAATATAGCCTCAAAGCAGTTCATGTCAGACTTAGCCTCATTTGAGTTTATACTCTAATTTTTTTTTAACTTTTTAGAGTGTTTGGGGTTTTGTTTTGTTTTATTTTTCAGTCTCTGGTTACAGGAGAAAAAAGATAGTGAAGCTATCATAGTAACTGTGATCAGAGAGACCCTGGGTTGCAGGGCCAATCTGTTCCCAGTGGGTCTTGGGGCTCCTTCTCAACAGCTGCAGCCCTTTATAGGGCACAGCTCTCCCTCCACCACCCACTTTCCCTCCCTAGAACCTGCAGAATCCACCCCCAAGATTCAGGAGCAATGTGGTGTGCAGCCCAGCACAGAGGACACTTCAGCCCACATGTCACCACTGGATTCCCAGGGAGCCAGCTTGGTAAGCCCCATGGGCTGGGATTTGGGCTTGCAGGAGACCAGGTTGTAGGGCCTTGTATTTAGAACCAGCGGAGTAGACAAAGGAGCAGCTTTATTTAGTCACTGAAAAGTTAGCCTCTGTGGTAAGTGGCCACATATCTCCTCTGACAAAGAGAGAGGGATTAAGTAGCTGCAGGAAGGATTAAATCAAGAGTTTGTTGGGTATACCTTCTGGAACAGGTGATGCAAGTAGGCCATGGGTTTGATTTTATTTTTTTAGTAAAGGGCAGTTGGAGCCAAAGTATTATGGACTAAGAGCAGAGATACTTCCCAACACCTGCCTAGAAGAGAGAGCGTTCAGACTGAGATCCACAGCAAAAGCTGCCTCAGACGGTGGATAGTTGGGGTGACCAGAGGGAAGGAAGAGCCTACAGCCCTTCAATCACCTTCCCTTTCCTTCCCTGCAACAGGTCTGAAAGGAGTTGACATCCTGGGATCACCACTGCAGTGTGGAAACTCATGGACACTGGATGTTTCTTAATCTCTTGTTTTTAAAAGTGATAAATTTGGTGTTAGGTCCTTGGTGCTTTCCTTCTTTCCAGCCCGGGGATCCCTTCCTCCCTCAGCTCTTGTCGGCACTCCACAGCCCCGACTCTCAGGACCAACTAGGGAAGGAATTAGGGAAACTGGCAGAAGCCTTGCCTTTACTTTCATAAAGAGAAATGGGAGTCTGGAAGTCAGAGGTCACCTCAAGGCTTTCCTATCTTACTGAGGAAAGCTCTGCCCACATAGCAGGGCTGCACTCTGGGAGACTGCTGCTCTAAAACAGATAGCTAGGACTGTGCTATGGCACCGTCTGCTGGACATAAGTGGGAAGTGCACATTGTCTCTAGACCCCTGAGAAAGAAGTATTTGGAATTGTCTGGCCTCCAATTCTGTGGCCACTATTTCTTATTCCAGCCTGATAGGACAGATTTCCTGAGAACCCAGTGGCTAGAAACCCAAAAAGCCACCTCACCCCTTGTCCTACACACTAAGGTCAGGGTAAAACTAACACCATGCACAGATGGAGAAATGGCCTCTGGTCCCAGCCAGGCGTCTCATGATGCTGATTCTGATTCTCCCAAAGAATTAAAGAGAGTAAGGGAAAAGGCAAGATTCTTTCATGCTGTTTGCTGCAGCAGTGCCATACAGCCGAAAAAAGCATAGCCTGGGTACCAGATAGGCTTCACCTGGGTCTCCCTCCAACACTCAGGGAGAATACCATGCCAGAATTACATCTACCTCAGAAGAAAACAACTATAAAGACACATGAGAGAACTTGTACCTTGTGAACACCACACACATCCAGCTGGTCTCCCTTTATTGATCTCTGGCTATATCAGGGGCCTGGGAGACCAAAAGCATGGGGGAGTCACATGCGGTTCAGAGTGGCAGGTCTAATGACCATGGAGATGGACTTCACGAGAACAGGGCCCACTGTACAAATGCATGGCTGGTATTTACAAGAAAGGAGGAGGCAGTCACCTGGACTTGGCCTTTTCTTGGGTGAGGTGGGGCAAGGAGCCTGAGGACAGGAAGAGGCTCTGCCTGGCTGCACTTGCTCTGTGTGCTTCAGGATACAGCAGCCCTGAACCCCTCCCCATCTGCCTTTCACCCACCAGAAGCCCAGAGAGGGGAATCTCATGGTGGGCCAGTGTTGGGAGAAGGGAGGCAGGAAGGACCCACTCTCTGCAACATGGATTACTGGGTAATACCTCACCCCACTTACACCGGGGCCAGCTGTATTTTCCTTCCTTTGCTCATAAGATACATCCTGAAGGAAGACCTCAAAGCATTTACAGACATTGGTCGGATGAGAGCCTCCTAGTCCCCAGGGACAGAAAGGAGGCAAAGGGCCAGAGACCCAGGTAGGGCAGGTGACAAGCTTCTCAAGCCCAGACCAGCCCCACGTTCTTGGGGACCCCAGGAAAGTCTTCCTGCAGACAGAATTCCGATGGCTCCTCTCCTCTCCCAGCCACTGTCTGGGCATCGGAGAGGGAGTTTGCATGGGAGTGGGGCCGAAGCAGTGCAAGTCTAGGGTCAAGAGGATGTCCCCCCTCCTCACCCTAGGGAAGTGCTCGAAGGGACACCTGCCCTTCCCATGCAGGGCTTTGAAAACTGCCAGCCTCCTATCCTATTATGGCCCTTCCTTGGGAAACAGTAAGGGAAACCCAGACCTGCCAGCTAAGATCTGGGGTGGGGGCTGAGGGAGCCCCCAAAATGTATTGCTTAGAAACTTGGAGGCAAGAAGGATGGGGAGGGCCAAGGGGGCTGGCATCTCTGACCCTCCCCTCCAGGCCATAGGAAACCTGCAGGAAGCTCACCCCTCCCAAGTAGCCACCTGGCCAGGAAGGGAGTCCAGAGGCAAGGGGTGGGCACAGTGACCACTGGGGGCATGTGGTTCCCCAGGCTTGTGTCCCATTGGGTATTGGATGGGGAGGGGAACTTCCCCCACCCCACCAGCTCCAGCATTTGGCTTTCAGTTGGGCTATCTCTCCCACGACCAACACACTCCCTTGAAGCAGATGGGGGAACCAGTCCTGATGGATAGTGGTAATGACATCGAAGACTTTGGACTCAATGAGGACCTGTGGAAAGAAGGAGACACTTCAGTGTTCTGTTCTTGAACTTCATCTCTAACCTGATCTTTCTTCTGCAAATCCCACCCAGTCCTCCCTTGGTCCCCAGAATAGCTGAATACTAATGCCCTTCAGATGTATGGCTATGAGCTGGGCTGAAATGTCACATTTATTCACTTGCCCTCACTGAGCCTTGTGCCTAGACTGGTGCCTGTTCCCTAATTTTACAGAGCCTAGCACATGTGTCACCCTGTCTGTGCTGTTCTTTCCTTTCTTTCTTCAAGGAAGAACTGGGACCAAAGAAGGTCCAGGAGCCCCTTGCTTCCCACCCATGCCCTGGCTCAGTCTTATGCCTCCAATTCTCTGCTTTGTTGCCTGAAAAAAGAAAGAACATCCTACTGAGCAGAGAGCCCAGAGATGGGCCACCTGAAGCCAGACTGGCTTGGCTGCCCTCCTGCCCCCTAGCTCACCTGGCCAGCCCCCAGTTCTCTAATCCAGATTCCCATTCTGGTTGTGCTCATCTTCTGCAGGGGAGGGTGGGGCCTCTTCCTCACAGGGGGATAGTTCATCAATGGACATCTGGTTGGTGATGCCTACAGAGGGTTCCAAGGAAGCTGAGGTTAGGCCAAGAAGTAGTTTCTCCAGAACCAAGGTGTATGTGAAGAAAATAAGAGGACTGACTTTCATCTACCACCTGCCTCTAAGCTGAGCTGCCTCCACCCATCCATCTCACATGAAAAACTCACAGCCCTTGCTCACAGTGCAGCCAGAACTACCGAGTAACCCAGATCTCCAGGGGCACCATTTGGAGATAGCCACAGCGTGCAAAGAGTCCACCCGTGATGTGCACAGGGCCCCAGGGCTTAGAATACTGTGGATGTCCCTATCACCTCTCCAGCTTTCATTCTAGAACAGCCCAAACCAACCAGCCAGCCTTTCATGGGGCCGCCTATTTCAGTCTGACTGGCTCCATTTCCAACTCTAGGAGTCAGAGTTGCCAGGGACTTAACAAAAAGTAGACTGCTGTAGCACTGCCAGCCAGCCCTAGGATGTTCACACACACACACACACACACACACACACACATAACAACACCCACCACTTGCTGCCCGTTCCTTCCACTTCTGTTTGTTCTCCTGAATGTACTTGATCCAGGTGGAGCGGAAACTGACCACATCAGGGTTGGGGTCTCCTACGTCTACATCTAAAGAAGGCTGGCGCCACTGGAAGCTAGAAACAAAACCCCATACAAACCCCCAGTTCCAGATGTGAGACCCAGCCCTCTTCAGAATCCAATTCTTAGCCCTCAGCATGGAAGAGATGAAAGATCAGGAAAAGGTTGAGGCTGTAGTCCTCTTCTTTTCCCTCTTCTAAATACCCCCAAATCCTTGTCTATCTTCCCATAATTGCACCCCTCCCTCTCCACACTTAGTCTCCTGGTAGAAGGAAAACAGAAACAAGATTATCTGAAAGACAGCTTAGACCCTTAAGGGAAAAGTAACATAGGGAGCCTAGGTATGAGCCTCACCCCTCTAGTCTCATCCTTCTGTGACAAGCAGAGGGGCTTTCAGACTTGAAGCATCCCACCTCCCTCCTACCCTCCCTCCCACCGAGGCTGTATCTTTTCTCCTGAAAGAATCCTCTTTGTGCAACCAATGAACTAGGACATATGGTTACCCCAGCCACAGTCACCTAGGCTGACTTTTAGATTTGGAATCATCATCTGCCAAGGGCTGGACACTCTTCTCTGCCACATCAGTCAGCACAGAGAAGGTGGGCTCCACAATGAAGTCAATGAAACCTGCAGGAAAGGGGCAAGCAGCAAAATGGAGGACTAGGCAGAAGCAAGAATCTCATGGTTGTGAGCCCTGGCTGCAAGTAACAAAGCCTAGAGAAGTGACCTGGAGCTAGAACTTTCCCACTGGGGACAACTTGGAGACAATATCTCTATGAGCCCAAAGAGACCCTTCTAATGCAGCTCCAGGTATCTGTCACAGAACCCCACATCCAGCCCAGCATCCTTGCCTCAACAAGAAGAACAGTTTGGGAACTTGGAGGCTTAGAACAAGCCTGGCAAGGCCCAGACAGCTCCTTTCCTCTTCCCCCTCAGACTCACCTATCTGGGACTGAGCCACCAATGTGGAGGTACGATCACAGAGTGGAGAGAAGGGCAGCCCCAGCTCTGCTTCCTTGTCACCCTGGGAAGAGAAGATGCCTCGGGGTTGGGAGGGCTGGGGAGACAAGTGGCTGCAATGGAAGAAAAGGACACTACCCTTTGACCTGGAAATGAGGGGTGAACAGAGATAACCAGTATCCAGCTCTTGGGTAGAGACTTGACCCCACAGGCTCAGGATCAATTCAAGAGTGAAATAAAAGGTAGCCAGGTGGAGCTCTGGAGTAGCTGTGGGAAGCTTGCATATCAGGGGTAGGAAGGCTCCATTGGCAGGGTTACCTGGCGGAAGAACTCTTCCATTAGGGCCTTGGTCCAGCGGCTGTGGACTGACCACTGCTTGGTTGGATGGCTGATGTCAGCAGCGTGAAGCAGAAGAGATAGGGCCTTGGACTTGTCAATCCTGGTTAGGGCAGATGTTAAAGAAAGGGAAACTGGTCTTTTAGGAAAAGGAGACCTTGGCCATTCTCCAACTTTCAGTCACACAAACACTCCTTTTCACATAACTCTAAATAGTCTGCATACATGCAAACTCATCTGTATGTATAGATGTAGAAGCACAGATCAGTAGCTGAGAACCCAAGCTCTTAGAATCAATGGGCGTGAATTTGACTCCCCCTCATATCTACCACCCACTATTGTGAGACACTAAACAAGTTACTGAAAACATCCATAATTCATTTTCTTCAAGCCAAAAGTGAAAATAATAAGCCTACCACATATTGAGTTGTTCTGAGAATTAAATGATTTATAACAAGTATTTCAAGATGTCTGACACGTAATATGCA